AAAGAGTTATGATGATAGCTCTTTGGTGGTTCATGTTTAGATGCAAACCTTGTGAAAACAAATTATATTTTATGAATGTGCGAAGTTTTAACGTACTTATTATATTTTTTTTGTTATTAATGGAAATTGGAATTGTGAGGATATGTGGAAATATGCATGGGTTTGGTTTCTATATATAGAGAGGGAGTGGTGGTTTGTTATCGTGTTGACCAAGGGACATGAAGAGTTCAGACACGTCAATTTGAACATGTCAACTTGGTGTGAAAGCTTTTCCCAAACTGAATTTTCAAAAAAAACATGTTCGGTCTTGGAGTTGAAAGGGTAATTTCGGTAGAGGAGTGGGTAAGAGTTATTGAATTCTGACTTTTAGGATTCAAGTTTTGACTTGACCTCCACAAACTCACCTTATTGGACCATCAATTACATATATGACCTTGGCCAATTTACACATATCCTATAAGATTTACAAATAATTACAAACCTACGATTAAGAGTAAATAATTAGCAACCCATCGAATTGATTGTCAATTATTTGTGTATATATACGATCTTATCTGTTACCAAATGAAGACGGCTTCTGTTCACTTTTTGTGGAATTCGTGACCAACAAAAAAGGAAAAAAAAAAAAAAAACAGATTCTGTCTTGAGCATTCCGTTTTTCATGGACAAAACAAATAAAACTTCAAATCTGGCATAAGAAATCATCGCCGATTTAGAATAGATCCATTTTCAAAAATTTAAAAGGTCAAAAAATTTCAAATCTAGCAGAACAAAAACATCGAGGATTAAGAATGTAAACATATTTCAAATTAATCATTCATCACAGTGGTGGGTGGAATAAGAAGACACGGTAGTAGATGCATATACTGAACATATACCCGACTGATGATAAAATTGTTTCGCATTATGTTTTGACCTCTAGAATTTCCCACATACGCCGCATATACATAACATAAACTGAACATATACCCGACTGATGATAAAATTGTTTCGCATTATGTTTTGACCACTAGAATTTCCCATATACGCCGCATATACTGAACATAAACTGAACATATACCCGACTGATGATAAAATTGTTTCGTATTACCTAGAATTTCCCATATGCGCCGCATATACTAAACATATACCCGACTGAGAATCACCGCTAGAACATATACCCATATTTGCTCATCCTCGAATTCATCGATCAAACTTTCTTCCGAATCATCTCCTGCGGTTTGGGTTTCATCTTTACCGCGATAATCAGAATCCTCCGTTTCTTCTACTTCAACCGCACTGGGGATCTTTCGTTTTGGATGTCTCTGGGCTTGTTTCGGTCGAAATTCTCCATGGTCCGACTAAAAGTCGTCAAAATTGGGGTTGGAGTTCTTCGTTTTAGCCATGAAATTTGGTCTTAGGGTCTGAATTTGCTTTGAGGGAGGTGTCTGTTCCAAACGTGGGAAAGAGAGAAATAATTAGGATATGTGGGAGAGAGAGGATTAATTAGGCGTTTGTTCTAAACATTCTCGTAAATTCACAAATAAAATTACATTGGATGTTAATTTTGCAACAATTTTTGTTTTAATAGTAAGCGTGTAAATAAAATTGTGAGGTGTCGTGCCCCGCATAATTTCCTCTATGACCTTTATATACATGTTTTATTCATAAGGTAAGAAGAAAAAAAAAATTATAGACGTATAAATGCTTAAAAATATAAAGGCTCAAGGTTTAGAGTTTAGTCCATGCTTAGAAATAACTTGTTTTGGGTTGATTTTCTTTCTTCTTTTATTAGTTATTTTAAGATTGTTCTTCCAATTTTATACTTAAAAAAAAATAGAAGAAACGGAGAAAAAACGGGTGCAGTCAATTATCTATATTTATTCATAATATTAGCAATTTTAAGGACAAAATTATCTGCTGGTCAATAATAAGAGTAACGTAAGAGAGTCAAACTTTTAAGAATCCTACCGTAGTTGCAAGACCATATTTTAGAGAGCGCGAGTACTCCCCTATAGTAGGGGAGTGCCGATGTCATATAAGTCCATAGAAAAAAAATCAAAACAACATATATTATGAACATGAGGGAGTACTAAATTTCTAATTAAATCTGAAACAAGTTTACGACGTATTTCAACTTCTACTTCTATATTTTTTTCTAGAATAAAAGAATAACAAAAGGTATTTATTAAAAAGTGTTACTATAAACTTGAATGAGCATATAAAATGATAATAATAACAATAATAATAACTGATATAGGATACCAGACCCTGGTAGAACAAATACAGTAAACCGGTCGACCAAGTCAAGTGAACCGGCTGGTCAAACAGAACAACAGGAAGGTCGTCTAGAGGCGGATCTAGAATTTTTTTTGGAGGGGACTAAACTTGTTATTTGAAACGAATTATTTGGGATAATAACTTGAATTGACACGTGAAAACTCGAGGAACTAATTGATTCTTATCAAATGAATCAAACTTAAACTCGCATTTTTGTTCGTTTATTTAATAGTGAAACCAAGCCAACACATTTATTAAACAGACACGAGCTTGATCATAACGTATTCAATTCGACTCCAATAACACTTTTAGAAGAAAAATACAATTTTTAATAATACTATTATATATGCATATGAGACATAAAGTTGCATAAAGTTATTTAATAATAACTTTTGAAGTTTGATATATTAAATTTGTGTTCTGACATTATTTCAAATCATGAGACTCATCAACAATTGAATCTATATATAAATAACTAGTATGTAACCCGTGCGATGCACGGGCTGTATTTACTTTGGAGAATATTAAAAATTAAAATGTATTAATAAATAAAAGAGTGATAATTAGTAAGAAAATTATCAAACCATAAAATATTCCTCATGCCAAAAAATATATTATTTAAACTTTAACACAATATTATTTGTCCAACAACTGAGCAACTCGTCGTCCCCACAAACTAATATTTTCAACACTTTTCTATTATTTACACGCGAAAAAAACAACATAATTGTCCGTGACTAAAAATCGATTTCTTTAAGAACATGCCAACGTACAATAAATGTTGACCTTGACTCTTCTTGATCTATTACTTAACATGGCAACGTACAATAAATGTTGACCTTGACTCTTTTTACCTATTATTTACACGCGTAACAACATACAATTGGTCGTGATCAAAAAAAGATTTTTTTAAGAACATGCCAATGCACATCTCTTATCTATTACTTACACGTAAAAAGAACAACATATAATCGGTCGTTGCTAAGAACTGATTTCTTTAATAATATGCCAATGCACATAAAGACTGACCCTGATCTTAAATGAAACCCTAAGATTAGAAGTAACTGGTGCTCTAGAACTTAAATGAAATTCTAAAATGGATCTTTTTATAATATGACAATTTACTTAGGCAACCAGATAATGAGCTGTTAGTTTAATATCGATTATACTTGATTAGCTATATAATATTCACTAATATTTCTATATTTTTTATACAAAAAGACTGACAATGACTGTTAAATGGAACCCCAAAATCAGAAGAAACTGGTGTTGTTGGAACTTAAATGAAAGTCTAAGATGTACCTACTTATAATATGATAATTTATACAACAGTTGGACAAATAAATTGTTGTATATCTAGAAAAATATGTATGAATAATCAAAACATTAAATATTATATCACACTAATTTTATGAGAGAGATTATATATAGTAGATATAAAATATAAAACATTAGTGATTAGACATTACTTCAGGCTAATTTTTTCAAGCCGAACAATTTTTAATTGAATGTGTGACAACTTGTTATATATTTTTAAACTAAACAATTTTTAATTGGACAGCTTTCCTATTATATGTTTGACAAATTTTTAGGTAGTATATAGCAATAAATTTATATTTTGTGTTTATAAAAACAAAAAATCGATTTACTATACAAAATTTTGAAAATTTTCCTTTTAAAAACAATTGACAAAAAGAATACCAATAAAGGGAATTTGTGTATATCTCAAAAAAAAAAAAGATTTGTATATATCTCATATAAAATCGTTCATTCTCAAAATCTGCTACAATGAAAAATAGATTTAAATATTAATATAAATATATTTAGATATTAATATAAATTTATATTTTGTAATTGTTGGTTCTAATAAATATGATAAAATAAAAAGAATCCTCACAAATGAGATTTTCAAAATTGACGCCATGCAAATTTAAATATTACTATAATTTTTTTTTTTTTTGTGCGCATGTAACATATATGCTAATCCAAATCAATGATTCTAATAAATATGTTAAAATAAAAAAGAATCCTTGATAAATAAGAGTTCCAAAATCGGCTACATATAATTATTTACATAATCTTTGCCTACAAAACCACTATCAACGTAATTAAAGAAAACTAAGAATTTACTAAAACAAACACAAACCGAAAATCGAGTTATAAGAAAATTATTCAGTTAATTATTTATTTTTTATTTAGATCATTTTATATCATTTCCATCTATAGTAGGTAATTAATGTTTTGAGCGAAAAATGCTCATAAAATGTTCGGGTATGAAAAAATCATATGTTATTAAAAACGTAATTGTAAACAACATCATTAGTTTGATTATTGGGCACACTACAATAAAATGAAAAAATTCCAATGGAAATCTATTTCAAAAGAAATTATTCCAACGACAATTCCAACGGATATTGCAATACTATTATTTCCGTTGAAAATTTTCAATGGATTACAACGGAAATTCCAACAAAAATATTCCGTTGGAATGAATTTTCCATTGGAATTTTCGTTGGATTTTGACGATTACAACGGTGGATTTTTCAAAGGGGTGGAAATAAAAATTCCAACGGAATTTTCATATTCCAATAAAAATTCCTACGGTAAAAAAACCAATGGAAATATAGCAATTGAAATCATTAAGTTTTTAAGGTTGACACTCACTCTTGTTTATCGTCATGACAATATAAATGAATGTTTATCTAAAAAACTTTGTGTTATTTTTCAATTTCGTGATTGATGGACTCTTTTATTAATTAGTTGGTTTGAATCAATATATAACAAATTTTGTTGTCAATCGTTATTATAGTTTTTAAATTAATTTGTGTAAATGCATAAATAAAAAGAGACCTAAACTATGAAAAAATTTTCATCTTTTGAAATCATATAAATGACAAACACTATCTTTTAATATAAATAATGATAATTGTTGTAAATTGGAGTCCTCAATATTCACCAAGCATCCATCAATCAATAAGCATAAAAGATGTGCAGTAAAAAGAACGAGAAAAGAAGCAGAAAGG